AAATTGTACTCAAGTTGAGCCTATCTCTACTGATATAAGCAGAGGAGAATCAGCATTTAAACAGCAGTATAGTGACAGAGAAGAAGCAACCACATCGATGGACCAGGACACATCTATTTGACACAATGATACCATAGAATTCTACTCACTATTCTTGGACAAGGAATTTGACATGAGTACTAACGCCACCACTGATAGATAATTGGATTTATTTGTAAGTACAAGCTTTGCATACTAAAACCAAATATGCTCCAAAAAGCTTACAAGTGTGATTTATGACTGGTGCTTGCTGTTCCTACAGTAAACCAATTGCTCTGATTGAGACTCATCCTTTTTCTTTTCCACAGTGCCAGTGTTCCACCTAAGAAATAGTTGTTATTGTTTGTTTTATAAATCCATTTTTGTGTTTAGTCATGTTTCTATAGTTGCTACCTTAGGGCTGACAAAATAAATCATAGATATCACACCTACATATTCATGCATTTGTTTGCAATATTTAAGTGATAAAGAAAAACATCTAAATTGTCTTTTGTGAGTAAAAAATATTTGGTAATTTGAGATGAACTTCAATTTAAATATTTAATTTACACTTAAGTGTGTACTCAGTATTTCTTCCATTTTGGAAATAACAGCCTGGTGGTTTATTACTGACAGCAATGAAAGACAAGAAGCTGTGGTGAATGATAATCCCCCAATGTCCTGGATGTATAGAGTAGACAATGAGAAAGAATTTTATATAATTACCAAAATCTAAATTAATTGTAAATTTTCTATTAATTTTTGAATCATCAGCATTCAAAATCAATTTCATGCTTTTTTAAAAGAAAAATGACAAACTATCCTCTCAAGTTAAAAGATTTAGCTGTTAGTAATTCTGTCTTTATTTCCCCCTCTATTTTTAAAAATCTTTGTAGTTGCTTGAAGGCATATCATATTTCAAATCGTAATCTCTTTTTTGGTAACCTCATATTACAACAGTCTACTTTCTCACATTTATTGATTTAAATCTATTTTAAATTTCTGTCTGATCAAAACATTTTCAACACTTGTTTATGAAGTCAGTTCATGTGTCTTAATCTTTATTAATGAAGTGCAAGTTATACCTTTTCTATTCAAAATAACAGCCCAGCTCATTGTTTAACTATCATACTTTTATTTTTTCCCACTTTATTTGCTTCTTACTTTATTAACCTTGTTTTATTATTACCAACCCAGTACTACAACTTTCAGAAACATTATAAAAAAGATTTTTACATTTATCTAATCCTTTCATTGTTACAGTATTTTTTTTATATATCATTTCGCCCCTAGCTGGGCAAAATGCAAAGGATGACTGAGCATGAAAGAATAAGAACAACAAAGAAAGACATAATTAAGGAGCAAGAAGAATAAATGAACAGGAAGACAAAAGATAATGATTGACATTGCATTTGAATTTTTGAAGATCAAAATTGAATGGAAAGAAGCCAGAAAAGAGTTCCACAAGTGAGAAATTCAAGAAGAAACTGTTACTATAGAACTTACAATTACTTTTAGCCATTTCAACTCTAAAATGATGAGACCTAGCTGCCAATCTAGTACTGTGCTTGAATTCATAAAGTCAAGGTACCAAAGGTTGTGTGTAATCGAGAATTGCAACATATGATAATTAAAAGTTCTTAGCATTTGCTTGAAAACTACATTTCTTGTGTTCATTTATCTTTTTATTTTACTTTACTTAATTTACTGTTAGTTCACCCAATACAACCCCCAAGAACCATTCAAGGTAGAGGGTTACTGAGTGAGATTGTTATAAGGAAGTGGGGAGGAAGATGCAAGACATGCATATTATGAGGATGGGAAGAGATCACAATTGCAATTATTAGAGAAGCATCATCTCGGGAGCCTGTTCAGCAATGTAACAGTTTTTGTGATGTAGCTGTCTCAGTGGAACTTCCTCTTTATCAAAGGAACATGAAAGGAATGGGGATAATTTGTCACAGTGAATATGACATAGTGAGTCCAAACTGTAAAAATCTGAGCTGGTAAGATTAGGGAATGTAATTCACCCAAACATCTGCCATAGTAATAACATTAGAGTAATGAGAGGTTAGCAATGTTTTTTCTGTAGGATAAGGGTTGCAGGGTGGAGAAGAATTCATCACCCACAAAGCTGTGTAAGCAATCTTGAACTCTGTCATGGTTGGACAGTGAGGATTGAGCAACATCAACCCAGATATGGCAGCAATACTTTATTCTTGGTTTGATCTGAACCTTGTAAAGATAGAGCACGGCAGTGGTATTTTGGTATTTCTTGAAGGAATTCAAGAAACTGACAATTCTTCCAGCATCTTTTGTGATAACATGAATATATGCTTTCCAATTCACATTGGGATTGAATTTTAGACTCAAGAGGTGTTCGAGGCAAGGAACCTCTCTGAGGGCATAACCACTACTCAGGATTGGTACAGGTTTAGGGTCAGCTCAGTGGTGATAAAACATTATAATTTATTCATTATTTTAAAATTTTATTTGAAATTTAATATTATTTTAAAATATATTATTACAAAATGTTATCATTTACATAGTCTACATTCAAAAAAATACTCTTGTCTTTCTTGTTATTATCATAACATTTCAACTATTGTGTTCTCCAACCTTCTTCAGGTTGTTGTTGATCCAAATAATCTCAAAGAATTTTGAACTGAACCTTTTATTTAATCTATAGGGGTAGCTTATTCTTTTTCCACTGTCCATGTTTAGAGATATTTTGTGTTGTTCTTATTTAGTACTGCTCAGTTATTTACTTGCCCCATTCAATCTCTGGGTTGGGTACTAAAGACAGACTCAAGTGAAATAGGACAAGCAATAATTACTTGATGAAAAACAGACAACACAAAATAAAAAATACCATAATTTTCTTTTCTCCTTCATGTTTCATTCTCCTAATTCAATTTCCTTATCCTATCATTCATCTATATATATATATATATATATATATATATATATATATATATATATATATATATATATATATATATATATGTTGAGTGAGTGCTGGGGTTAAAAAATAGTGCTTGATGTATAACAGAGATATAATTTATTTTAATAATAAAATACATTTTTTCCTCACAGGTAGCTTCATGTACAACAGAATTGTTATTGTGTTGTGCATGAAACTCAGAGTTGTGCAACTGGGGAGGAAAAAATGTATATTTATTATTATTATATATATATATATATATATATATATATATATATATAATAAAAAGCTTAAACACTAATATTCCATGGTTATAATTTATTCCATTGGAATCGTAAATACAATCCAATTCATCAGACCTACAAATTCAAATTTGTTTTTGAATTTGTAGGTCTGATGAATTGATCGTATTTACGATTCCAATGGAATAAATTATGACCATGGAATATTAGTGTTTAAGCCTGTTTATTATATCCTTACTCTGTCCTGGACATTGAGTTCTACCTGGATTCTATCCTCTTGGAATTATTTTTTTATACATATATATATGTATGTGTATGTATGTATGTATATATATTTATATAGTTTAGATATATGATTGCATACGTATGTGTATATTAACCACTAATATTATATATATATATATATATATATATATATATATATATATATATATATATATATATATATAAAAAAACAGGTAAGGAAGATCAAAACATTTGCATGACACTATCTGAATCAAGGCACTAGAAAGCCACATCTATTTGTTTTTTTTAATATATCTAATATATATTCCATTTATGAACATTTGATGAATAATTTCCAATCTTTCTCGGAAAGATAACAAGTTTGATCAAAGTATAATCCTATGATATCAAAATATACTGTCAACTTTTATAACTTATTGTTTCTTTCTGGAATTGAGGAATAAGCAACCACGTTAGTTATTAGGAGGAACAACTAGCATAAAGACAAAGTGGTGAGATCATAAAGGATTATATATTACCAAGAGCAACAAAAACCGGGAGCTATAAAGAACCATGAATGCTAAGGTTCTCACTTGAGAGAAAGTGTGTGTGTGAACTATAGACAAGGGACATGTCTTTTTTAAAGAAAATAACAGAAAACTTATTAATATTTTATTTTACTCCTATTCCAAGAATCTTTCCAGAAGTATAATGTTTTAAACTACCCACTCAGATTCTCAGATAGAGGCAGTTTATAAATGAAAAAACTCCAGTTTTGTGTTACCAACAAAAATTGTAGTAAAAATGTTTTTCTTTAAGAATACTTTTATTTTTTGCTATGATCAAGTTTAACTGCAGCTTCAGATCATTACAAAATTGTTTATTTGTATACTTCTTTGTATTTTATTTTATTTTATTTTATTTTAAAATTCATTGCTCTTGTCACTTATTTCATTCATTTTTGCTCTGCTGACCGGCAGAAAGCGGTTATCAAGCGAAACCAAACAAATATTTCCAACCAATCAAATGCAAACTGTACTGTATTTTGACCAATCGGAATAATACTTTATCACCCTTCCACTTCGTTAAACTTCTCTCTATGATAGTCTACTCCCCCTCAACACCAGCGTGCGCCTCCTGCTCTCTCTTTCGTAATAGGGACGCCATTGCTTCTACTAACTGTTGGTTGTAACATTCAGTTAGCCCTTATATAGTAGATACGCACAACTACGTGGTTTCTACTACCGGTACTGCTATCGTCGCCTTACCGTAGTGTATATATTTCTAGATAGGGATTGACGGATAGAGAGGCGGGAGAACTGATAATACCACTTTTCTTTCACTATCCTTACAGTTGAGTAATAATCAGCTAGCTTTTTGGTGTCTTTAAAAGAGGAAAAAAAAAGATAATTTACTATTCTTGTCTATTTTTTAAAATATATATATCGAATATTCAACAACAATATTTTTTTGTGTGCTAGAAGAGATACAGACTGAAGCATTGCGCCCGGAATAGAAAAATCGTAAACACGTCTCTTCCCTGTCTTTTTTTTTTTTTAAAAAAACGGTAGTACTGTTTACTGCTACTGCTCCTTTATAAAGGTAAGTAAAAATCAAAGAAAAAAAAAGTAATATCTTGATATTTATAATTTAACTTAAAAGAGAAATGGCAATGGGATTAAATTATGTTGAAATTATTTTGTTCCTATGTGCAGAAAGGAAGAAAGTATCTGGAAAAACAAGGAGTCGAAAAGAAGCTGTAAAAATGAAGAGAGATTTGTATACATTTTTTGTTGGAACTGTGGCACTTGGTGTGTTCGCTTTATTTCTCTTCGATTCTACTATTGCCCAAGGTATGTATTATTTTGTATTTAAATATTTTCAGAGAAGCCCATTATTCATTTCTGTACACTTAGCAAAAATCTATTCTCTTGACTACGTATTAAAATTTGCACCCAAAAAACAAGAAAAACAAAAGTAAAACCGAACACTCCTTCCTATATAGTTTCCTTTGAGCTTTTTAGTTTTTAAAAGCCCTTAAACATTCTTTTTCTTTATTTTTTAATAAAATAATAGCCTGAAATTTAGTTATAATTTATTTATAACTTATAATTTAAGTAATTACAATCATAATTTCTTAAATTTGTAATTTTTTTTTTTTTTTAGCCTTTTAATTTTTAGAGATTTAGAGTATGTAATTTAAATCTGTTCAGAAGACTTTTTCATTCTACTTTAGGTGACTAGTTTTTTTTCTTTATTTTCTAAATGGCTAGCTAGCTCTTTGCTTTTGTTTTAAACTTTCATATGATTTTTTTTTTTTTTTTTAGCTACTGCAGCTTTTTCTTTAAACTTTCTGAAAAGGCAATATTGGTTGAATAAAGACTCTTAAGAAAAAAAACAAACTAAAAACGAATAAACTGATATGAAATTAGCCTACTTCAAAGTAAATTCCTCAACAAAAACAAAACCCTTTTCCATGGCTTAGAGCAAAAGCATTATTTTGGTAGTGACACCTGCTTAAAAAGTAAGCTGTGTAGGTAAAAATCTATATATAAAAAAAAAAAAACCTTTTATTTTTTTAAGATGGTAGTACAGTAGTTAGTGCATATTGTTCCATGTGCGATAAAAACAATCTTATTTTTAATTTTTTTACGGAAACTCTCATTGTGAATGACTCATTTTGTTGTCGCTCGCTTATCAAGGTCGTAAATAAAGCTAGAGATGAATTTCAAGTGCGGAAGCAATCGCAGATTTTTTGTTTAAAAAAAACAAAACCGTCTCTACTCACCTCACACGACTGGACCTCCTCCTCCGATAAATGTTTTTTAGATAAAAAAAATAGTCTATATGCCAGTAGTACAGCTGGTAGTGTTGATGATACTTTATTATTACTCTTATAATTTTAAGTTCTTTCAGTATTCTGTGCTGGTTTCAGAAAGGCTTATAAAACTTACTATTTTTAAGTCATTCATATTTACGCCATAGAACATTTAAAAAAAAAAAAAAAAAAAAAAAAAAAAGCATGTCTGAGTGAACATGTTAGTAAGTTAGTTACTCGTAGCAAAAGTAAAACCGCTCTTAAAACGTTTCCTTGTGATTTAAAATCCCTTTTTCTGATAGTTTTTTCTAAATCTCTTCCCTTTTATATAAAAACAAAAAAGGATTAAATTTGTTCTGACAAACCTTGAACTTATTATTGCTTGCTGCTACGTCATCACGGTTTCTTTATTTGCTGCTGCCACGATGTCGGATATTAGTTGCGTCGTTCGTTACGACGAAAAGCAGAAGAGCTGAAAAGTTCTCGGCTCGATCTGAACAAACATCCAATTTGTTTCTTTTCTAATCTTTTATTTCTCTTTTCGTTTTGTGCAAACGGACTTCTTGATCGGGTTGAACTTTCAGCATATTTGACTAAAAATTATTTGAATAGAATACCAAAAAAAAATCGAACATTAATTCAAACAATACTCTTTTCCACTGTTTTAGTTTTTTCATTTAAAACTTAATTCATTTAAAAATGATTGCAACCACACTTTTTCTTAATAAAAAGTGAAATATAAAACAAACAAAAAAACTGAACTTGTGTTCATAGTTCATTGCTTCTTCATTTATTGAACTGAATTTCTTTAAAACTCTCGATTGTATTTAAATAGAAATCCAGTATTATTACAGTTTTCACTCCCTTAAACTGAAACACTTTGAAAATTTCTTGATGAGGTGGCAAAAGCTTACCCACCCGGTTTTATGCAACCCAATTTTAGATCAGTTTCTCTTTAGACGTCATTTGTCCCTGATCTTTTCAATCGTGTCAGGACGTCCCGTTTGGTTACATCGTTACAATAATAAATGATTATTAAATAATCGCATCAGGATTTAGAATTTAGATAATTTAACAAATTTGTTGCATTTAAATCTTCTTAGAGATTAAAAGCTGAAAAATCTTCCGAATATTCAAGTCGTCATTTAAGCTTTAAGACTTTTCCTGGAGATTTTCTTTTGTTTATTATTAGAGACTCTTAGGGGCAAGTATTTACAAAGTTAAACTAAACATGATATTGGTTAAAAAAAAATAATATATCAACATGTCACTTGAAGTTTTATGCAGTCGCTTCTTGTGCAATAGACACGCCCTTGTAAAAATTCTTGATTTCATTTGAGTTGCCCAATGACCAAACCAACACAACACCTGATTCATAATTATTTTTTACCTTAAAAATATTGTTACAATTACGGATAGACAATTGTTGCCATACAAGAACGTCATTATCACATCGCGTCAATAGGTGGTTTAAAATATTTTTATTTCTTTTTCTTTGTTCTAAGAATCTTAGTTTCGCTTTTTCTTTAAAAAAAATACTCCTCCACTGTAAAAGTGTAATTTCCCCACTACTATAGTCATGACAAACGTGTTGATCCCTTTTTTTTTTTTATCACTGAACGACTCTACGTCACCACTTTAAATAAGCAACAATAACTATTTTTTATTTTATCATGAATCCATCAGTCGGTTAACAAGTTGCTTTTTTTCTTTTTTCTTTTTTTGTAAATACTGTGGAATTTGCAGTGTATTCCTTTTTTCTTCATTGTTTGTACTGTACATTTCTTAAAATGTGCAATTGGAATTGTTTGGTTGTTTGCAATATTTATCATAATAGCTTTGTAGCGAATATTTAAAGATTCAGCCCACTCTACCTTTGTTTAGGAAAATATTTCAAGGCAAATCTATAGATACGCATTTCGTAACCCCCTCTCCTCCTCCGCCTCCTTGTCGTCGTCAGGAGATGCGACAGCCATGGTTATAAAAGAAGTGCAGTCAAATTTTCAGTGATTAACCACATAAATTTTAAAAGTTTATAGCTATTATGTATGATTTCGAAATATCTTCTCGGTTAAACTTGCTTAACGCTTATTTTCATTCGCTCAATATTGCATTTATTCATCAGGGGAGGGGGTACAGGTACTCCTTTCCCACCTTAGTTTTTTTTTGTTTTCTTTTTGTCTAAGTAAATAATTCCCTTTGTCAAACATCCACTTGTTAAATGTTAAATACTGTAAAAATGCGATTTTTGGTGTTATCTGCTTTCTGATTTTTAGAATTCATTAGTACTCCTTTATGGTGGCTCATTTTTATTAATAACAGTACTTATTCGAATTTTCCTATTCTTTTCCTCGGTGAATCAGTGGGGATTAAAAAAGGCAGGGGAATTAGTCTTTTTACTTAGGGCTAAGTTTTTTTGTTTTTGTCTGATATTTCCTTTTAGTTTTCTTTTATCCTGTTGTATTAAGTTTGGTTCCATGAAATCTCAACCATTTTTTAATAAAATAACACAGTATCTTTTAAAATATTTAGATTACTCCAATAATAGAGAGCAGTATAATTGGCATAGTTGAAAATTTTTTAAAGCAATCTTTTAACAAATAAATCGACTTTACAATTGCTTCCATGGAAAATTTTTAAAGATAGTTTTAACTTTTTTTGTATCAGCTTGAAATGGGTAGTGAGCACAGTTAAAATTCCAGCCTTGCATTCACTTTTGCACAATGCCTTTGAGAATGGCCTAAAAATGCATGTTTTCTTTCCTATAGCTATGGACTCTCAAACCTTGGGTGGCAACTAGTCAAAAACTGAATTTAAAACTGGCGAAGGTAGCAGGAAACCACTCCTAGCTATCCCATGAAGGCATCACGATTTTGCAGATAATTAAAAAAGGAGTTGTGATTGGGATGTGAGATTTTTTTTTTTTTTTTTTTTTCTCCTAATTTGATTATTCATCTCACAAAGATTTTTTTTTAAACTGTTTAATGCCATTAAACCCCCTATAAATATCAAGTCCTTCAAATTCTTCTTGGTTAAAGTCTTTCTGCAAGGCCTGCTGTTGTAGTAGGTCTCTATACTAGAGGTTTTGATGTATGTAAAGAAAAAAAAAATCAAGGTTTGGTCCAATACAGTTTTTCTTTAACTGTTGCATGGAAAGGAAACTCCTAAAGCATTTATAAAGTTAAGAATCAAAACAGCCAACCTTTTTAAGTGTTTATAATTACTTGGGTATCTAAAAGTTTAACATGAAATTGATCATGGCTTACTGTTGCAGTTTTAGTTTATCAAGGTTGACTTGTTAGTAAGATGTGCAGAAAGTCTTTGTTCATTGTTTGAAAAGTTCTTATAGCTTGTTAGAATAAAACCTGATTTGGTCATGACACTTCAAATACCCTTGCTGTTTGCTGAGAAACTTCATCAGTGATTATTCTTGGTGTCAGTTGGGGTTTGAAAATTTATAATTGGAATAATTTGAATATAGTTGGCTTGCATTTGATGTATGAAACAATGACAAGTATAAAACTGGTCAGTGATTATTTTAGAAGTGGAAATAAACATGTAATAAGGAGTGTCCAAGATGTAGTTTTATATAAATTACTAATTTGATTCTCTTACAAGAAAGTTACACCAATTTTAGTATGTTTTTGTAATTGCTTTTTTTCTTGCATCTGAATTAAATTTTAGAACAAGATTAACTGTGCCTTGTTTGGGCAAAATCCATTCAAGACCTTGAGTAATATTTTTAAATATTCATCAGAATATTTTAATATACGGTTGAAGAATTTGACAAAAGGCACTTCCATTTTCTACATATCAACTTTTTCCAATTAAACAAACTTAAAATTATGCAAATCTTGTCACTTTAAGGCATTTTTGTCTGGATGCTTTGGATATTTGGATTTGCAATTTTTTTAACTTGTCTGTATTCACATTAGTATAAAGATTAGCAAGTTAACTATAAATAGCTTGGGGAACTGAACTACATATATTGTAGGCCTGTAACAGCTTTTTATTTGTTTGCCTGCAGATAAGGTC